GCTATGTAGGTTTACATGGCAATGAAAAAATCTTGGGTGGCTATTCCCTGGCACCTACCTGAGAGGCAGTTAGTGGTGTTTGGTTCTAGCCTCCCCTTCTTGGGGAGTATTATGGATATTTTAATATTTATACACTTTTAACCGATGGCGAACCAGAATTCTATGTAAGGTAAAGGCCTTATGACAATTGGATTAAAATTGTCAATTTTTCAATAGTGATCTCACTGTGCTTATTTGGAAAAAAGAATATTTCAAATTAATAATAAAAAATAAATAAAAATAACTAGTAAATCATGATAATTATTAATATGTTTTTTCACTCATTTATTAGTTTCCAAAGTAATTGTCTAGGGTTGGTGCCTATGGTCTTTTTATCATTGTTAGTAATTTTTTAAAAAACAGATAAGTTGAAGAAACTAATGAGTTATCCAACAATTATATGTTACACAATGATCTATTTTGAAAGATTTTAAAAAAGTTTATGAACTCATTTTTAAGGTATAATTGTTTATACTATGAATTTATTATTTTATAATTTTTTTATTTATGCTTAAGAATTTGAACAAATTAAAGAGTACCATTTCTCAAATAATATACAAATCTATTTTTTCTTAAGTCCTAAATTATGTCCATTTTATTAAGATTAATTGCGTTAATGTAATTTGATTTCTTGGTGGTTGCTACATGTGCACCAATTTGGATATTTTTGCATTTGTCAGCTAATTCTCCAAGGCCTGGTACTAATAGTATGTTGGAATAGGAAAATGAAGATGGACATAAGGGAAACATAGAAAGTGTATTTTAAGATTTTAATTTTTTTAATATTCTAAAATTATTAATTACACTACATAAAGCACCAATGAAGTTTTCTTTTGTAAATAATTTTCACATCATGGAATATTGAAATCCACCAATGGGCCAAAAAAATGTCAGAATTGAAATCCTTAATTAAGAGCAATTAACGTTTGTTCCTTTAAGTATTAAATTGATGAAACTTAGTGTCTGTCTTAACTATTTATACCAATTACCAAGGCAGGACCTT